GTGCATCCCCCCGTCTTCTACAAAATTAAATATAAATTAAAGCTTCCAAGGCAGAGCCCTCTTGTTCTTTTAAAGGCCACTGCTGGTAAACACTTCATATAATGATGAAGCCAGGGACTAGTCTGCATCTTTCCAGGAACAGCCATACATCAGACCTTCTTTGGGGTCAGTAAAGGCACATATACTTGTGCATTCGTAGTTTAATCTATTCATACTTTAATCTAGAATGAGAGAGTAGAGTCTATTCTCTGCATTTGTGCATTTTTCTCCAAGAACAGAAGCAAATTTCATAAGGATTGATGTAGTTTATTGTGTCACATAAATAAATAAATAAGTAAATAAGCCCCAAACCTAAAACATTTCCCATGCTCATTTTCCTAAATTACTGTGCTAAGGCATCTATTAACTTTCACCTGCTCATTCAATCTCTATGTGAGAATAGCAGTACATTATCACTTCTTGAAAACACAATTAATGTTCATTCCAGTGTACTAATGGATCTTAATCAAATGTGTGAAGCTTTGTATCCAACACTCAAACAATGAAACTGTACCTAGCTGACTAGGGAATAAAGGATCTATTATACTGGCACTTCTGTTTGAATAAAGGTAATGCCAGAAACTTTAGAGACACCAATGGTTGTTAGCCTATTTAGAAGCTATTTAAAATCTAATGATCAGCAGCCCATAACATCGAAGATGTATAAATTCATACATAATTGAATGCATGGGTTCAGAAAAGAAATTATGCTCAAGTCCAGAGTCTAAGATGCTTTTTAAAGCATATTCCTTTTGAGAGTCTATTGATGAAGTGAATACAATGGGGCTGAACAGAAAAGAATGAGGAAAAACTGTTTTCCCTCTCCTTGCTAATGCTTCTCATGGGAAGGCTCTTTTCTAGTCTGGTTTATTTAACAACCAGCTGGGAGTGCTGAATAGAAGTGGAGGTGGAACCTCTTTGGGGTTCCTTATGCCAAAAATCTGTACCTGATGCCTGTCACTGTGCCAGAAAGACATCTCCAGAGCAGAGCTCCCAGATTTATAGGAGTGACTCCAATGGATGCATTTCCTCCTTGATATATAGCTGAAAGACTTAAGTATTTCTCTGGAAGGGTGTAAATTTGCACTGAATTCTCACGTTAAGACATTACTTACATTAATGAAATCTTGAGGAAGAGGGTAAATAGAAAGGCTATGGAAATAATTTTGAAGCCGATATTCATAGTGATTAAGCAATTCTCTGAGGTTTTGATCCTTCAAGGAGGAATGAACATAAACTTTAAATCTGCGACTTGTCACACTGAAGAAGGTTCTGTGGCTGCAAGTGACGTTGCTTTTATGTTAACAATGATCATAGCTAAAGTTAGACTGCGATCATTTTTAAGCTTGGATGTGCAGATTTCTTCTTTTCTCATAAAAAGCCTAGATTTGCTATATATTTGAGATGACAGAGCTAAGCCAGTTGTCTGAGGCTGTTGTACACTAAAATTGTTTTTCACTCTTGACGGTTGGTTAACACAGCAAGTTCCCCAGCCAGCTGACCAGCTGAAGGTTGAGAGAAATGCCATGTTTAAAGTGCTTCTTTTTACTTGTCTTTGTGCAATGTGAAGAAAAAAAATTTTAGCCCCCATCCCAAGGTCCCATCGGTTATATTTGCACATCTGCATTTAAAGAAAATAAAATATCCCTGGTGAATGACTTGTTTTCAGAATAAAGAAAGGAGATTGCACAAGAGAAACTATTACATTGCAGAGATCTCTCTGGAGCATGAGATGTTGGGACTGGAGCACAAAATGGCATTTAAGAGCCATTAGAGCTCACTCTACTAATGGTTCAGCTCAGAGTATAGTGCTCCTATCCTTTTTATTCACTCAGCTGAATTTATCACGATGACCCATAAAACAGTTATCAGCACCTACAGGGCAAAGACACCCTGGATTCAGCTGGTACTTACCCCAGTTACATGCTTAAACTGAGATCTCTAAAGGTGTGTCTCCTCTCTTGCCACTCACAGGGAAGCTGCCGAGGCTTAGCTGCTCTGCTACATCATGAAGACTATGCAGTCAAGAAGGACATTATGGGATCATGCCCTTATTTCAGCATTTTGGACACATCTCTGCAGGGGAGAGTAAAAGGCTGTATTTCACAGCTATGATATCATTCTTGTAAGCTATATTTCAGTATGAGCCACTATAAAACCTTTCCCATGACATCAGAGCTGTGAAATATAGCTGACTTCAAGTGCAGAAAATTCCCCTGCAGGAATAATTGTTTCCTGGCAATTGGCATTTGAAGGACTGATCCTTTAAAAGACTGGCACAAATCCTGTCTAGGTAATGCTGCTCCAGGCAGCACTTCTCAGGAAATGTTATGTACAGGAGTAGAGGTATGGAACCCCACCATGGGATTTGGCCATAGGGGTAATGGAATGAGCACTGGGGAAGTCTGTCAGGTGAGGATTTTCACTCCTTATGCCTCAGCAGTCCATGCAGACTTCACTAATAGCAAAATAATAGGTTTGCTCATATGCTGTGCTCCCTGCCTCAGACTCTGCCTCCCCAGTAAGGCAAGTCGCATGTGCACCGCCAGAGCTGCCATCTAATCCATCTTTTCACATCTGCCCTCCAACACAGATCACCCTGATGATACATGCGTGCTGATACATGGCAGCTCACCGAGTCTGCCACTGCTCAGGGCACTACTTAACTCACCTGGGCAGGCCCCAACCTCCCCGCAAAGCAGCTTGGCAAGAAAATGGAAATCAAAAATATTGTGTGAGACACATTTTCTTCTTTCATATCACATGAAGGAAAATGTCGATCAGAATACAGTCCACTCAGAGCCAAGTTTTGAGTGGATTTTGGCAGAGTTGTAAAGGACAAGATCCTGTGCAGGTCAGAAGGGTACAGGAGGAGGATAAGAGAGACTATATAGACAAAGAGAGAGTCAAGGCCACCTCAGCTCTCCCTACACTGGTGCCTGAATCTGCTGCCCATGTCCTCCTCCAGCAACCTGCACACTAGTTTGGCACTGCTCCATCAATTGCACTGAAGGCAATTGTTGACTACATTGTAAAGCTTAGTCATGCTGGCTTTTTCTGTTCATCCTCTGGGAAGGTCTTGTACTGGTCAGCAGCTCTGTTCTTGCTGTTCTGTGTGTACATGTTTATGTGTATGTGTGTGTACACTCGTGTCGTGTCTCTCTCACAACACTCAAAGGTGTATGTGGACACAGCTCCCATGACCTTCAGGACAGAGTTGTTTTTACCCATGGAAAGCTCACTGGCTCACAAGATCTGACTAGAAACCTTCCCTTTTCTCCAGAGGAAAGTACACTTCTTCAGAATTAATTGTGCCTTTTCCGTTTTCCTCTTAATGCTGAAAAACTGACTCCTTCTCACCCAGAAGTTACCCCTTAACCTCTTTTACTTTGTGAAGCAGTAAAGCAATATTGTTTGAACAGTCCTGTTCCATTACCTACTATTCATATAAAAGCTAAGTGGTATTTCCTTATAGAAAATTATTTACTAACAGGAACTGTAAGAGACTTGAGGTTATTTTATACAATTTATTACTAACAACAACAACCACCAGAAGAGCAGCTAACTGGAGGCATTGTAGGTGTTTTAACTCTGTCAGTGTAGCTCAAAGGCTAAATTCTGTCTAATGTACACCTTTAAAAAAACCAAACATGTAGGGGGAAAAATGGTCGTTGATATAGAATATGATCCAAGTAGTGTTGCGTTAAATGCTTAAAATATCAAACAAAAATTGTCTTTGCAATTTGGTATAGTCAGATTATCATTCCACAGTCTTTTTTTACAAATATTGAGAGATGCTGTACTGAATTTTGAACTGGTTTCAGGATGATTTATGGGTTTTGATGAGAATACTGAATAAAACCCAAAACTTTTTCAAAGAGCATCAATGAAAAAAGAAATGAAAATAATCCAATGATCCTTCTCTTGGAGTATGGATCTGTTTGGACTAAAAATTTATCAGTGTGTTTATGACAAAAATGTATGTTATGGAATGTTTCTGTCAACTAATTATAAAATGTTCCACAGCTGTTAGTTAGGCATTTTGCGTGACTGGTTATCTGAGACACGTAGTATAATTTCTTCCTCCTGAAGAGAAGGTTCCAGCTTTTTAAAAATAGAAGAACTGTCCACAGTATACTAGGGTACTCTATGTATAGCTTTTTGCATGTTGAAAATTATGAGGTCTTAAGAGATAATTTTGTAATTGTTTTGTAGGCGCACAGGTATTTACTACTAATAGTAGGAAGCAGTATCTAGTAAAAACCCACAGGTAGCTGGGGTTTTTTTGTATTTTTGGAAGTTATTAGTGAAAAAATTTACATATATAACTAGGTATTTAAAGATCCAAAACTCGGTGCAATACTCTGGCAGTAGATAATGAGAAAAGCAAAGTGTCCATTTCCTATGCAGTAACAAACAGGTCTGGTATGTGTGAGATACTGACAAATATGCTCATTTTTTTCATCAACCTGTTTAGCTGGCCCTTTGTAAATGAAATCAAAGGTAAAACACCCTAAATATGAGGGAAAAATCCTTGAGTTATCGAAGTCCAGTCTCTTCAGCCCATAACTATAGCAACATAATGCCTCCTGGGAAGACAGTGTACACTTTTGCTAGCATTTCTTTGATGTTATAAGGTAACCTGATCAAGATCCCCGATCAAAAAGTTATCAGTTATATCCCAAAGCTCATGCAGTAAAAAGAAAAATGCCTGATTTGCCTTCGTTCACAAAGGGAAGCAAAAGGAGGTAATGGGCACCCCCCCAACACACCCTACATCCAAACATCATGACTCCTTCCTCCTACTCAATTTAGAGTCGCTCAGATTATTTGAAGGACCATTTGCAATATTTTGAATCAGAAACAGCCCAGCTTTTTGGCAATCATTATTACTCATGTTTGCAGTCATAACAGTTAAGTACCTTTGGAAATGCTAAAAAAGTTGTTATTTTTCTTTTCAGAGCTCCTTTGAGACTGCAAAGACTATTTAAAGAAGGAAGACGGCATGACATTGGATTCAGTGCAGTAAAGTAGGTTAGTTTGAGAACAAGACAAAAAGTCATTATTTAGACTTCCTTGTGTTGCCATGATGAGAACTTACCATTGCTTCTGGCTGCTGTTTTGGGCTAGTCAGCCCCACCAAAGCTTCTTAACTCCGTTATCCAAAAGGACTAGTGGCTTTCCAGAAAAGGAAAAGGTTTTGATATTATCTGGAAACAGCAGGCAAGACCTCCATCGTTCCAAAAGGAGCTGGATGTGGAATCAGTTCTTTTTATTGGAGGAATACACAGGAACTGACTACCAGTATGTTGGCAAGGTAAGCTTCTTTCATACGCATCTAAGATTTGATTTTAGAAATGTTGGAAAGCCAGCAATAACAATTAGGTAAGAACAGAGCCTGCTACAACTTTTAGTTCTCTTTCCTGTGTGCCCAGCTTCTGCTGGTTACCTTTCAGCAGAAAGGTTAGTATGCTTCAGCTTCAAATTGTAATCAACAAGAAGACGTTCCTCATTTAACCAGGAAGTTTCATGGCAAATCATTCACAATTCTGGTTAAAGATCTTCCTTTTTATTTTTTTTGTCTGGAAGTAATGCACCTTAATTATAGGCCAGATTTTTAGCTTTAAAATGTAATATGTATTTTCCCTCATGCTCGATAAAAATGAGAAGAGGTTTTGGTGTAAGTTAGGATTCACAGTACCCACATTTTTGGTGAGGATTCTCTCACAACAGTGCTGCAGCCATTTTCTGGTGAGGTTTCGTGGTTTCACTAAGGACTCTGTGACATGACCTTCATACCACAAGCTATGCTATTACAAACCACGGTTGAAGCACACTGTGTGTATACACTACGAAGCAACAGGCAGCTGAAAATTTCTGATCTCAAAGCATGCTGACAGTTAGAACAGGGTCTGTAAAACATTATTTAAAAAAGAAAAATCACAGCTTAATGCTGAGAATGTCCACCTCCCTGAGCAATAGACCCCGTGTAGGTAAGAACCTTTATCTGAACTTCAGAGCTAGTGCACCTGTGGTAAGAGTCTAGAGAGAGTCTATGCTGCCGAAGGTGCCATACTGTATAGGAATCTGTCTTGCAAAATGCAGAAATTATGCTACTGATGATGACATTCAGGCAGAAACAATACAGCTTGGTTTTCCAAACTAAAATGGAGTTGTGTCTGATCTAGTTTGATCTCTCAAGCCTCTTAGCAAAGGCTGCAGATCACAGTGGTTTGACATTTTATCTCCCTCTGCAAGTTTCTGAGCATTCCCATGAGAGATGGTGGCTGCTTTTCTTGCCTGCCAGTCAGCTGTCAGTCAAAGTTGGATGCCACACTCCTTTCCTCCTAAATGGCTGCAAGGCATGATTCAAATGAAGAGCTACTCAGCTAGTGTAATATTCATAGAGCTCCAACCAGGATAATCAGCATTCATGAAAGGTACCATTGAGCCCAATCTACAGGAAAAGGCCAAAGGCAGAGAGTCCTCAGAGAGGGGAAGTAGAGAAGGAAGATAAGAGGGTAAGAAAAAAAGCCAGAAGAGAGTAAGAGGAAAGAACTAGAAAGACAGAGGTGTAAAGAATGGAGACTTTACAAAGAGGAATCAAGATGGAAAGGAGGGGAAAATGACATGAAATGACAGGTAGAGAGTAGGAGAAAAAGTTTACCCATAAAGAGCAAAAACAAAACCAGAAGATGAGACAGCAAAGGGGAAAAAAAACCCAACAGGTGAGAAACCTTGAGTAAAGGAGAAAGGAAAACCAATGGAAAGACAGCAGTCCTCCACACACTCTCCTGTTTCGTAGTCTACTGAGGGGGTGGTCAGGGTAATGGGGATCTCTTTCTCCAAAGATAAAGCATGTGGTCCTTGGCCAAGTCCTGCAGTCTGTCATTTTCACTGTGAATTCTGACATTAAAGCCTGCTCAGCTCCCATTCTCTCCACTGCAGAATTAGAGTAGAGCTATTGACTTCAGGGGGACTGATGGGGGAGTGAATATTCCTACAGGATGATTTTGCTGAGAGACAGTTTAAAAATGGTCTACCTGGGGAGCCCTGGTGGCCTAGTGGTTAGGTTGCAGCACTCTCACCGCTGCGACCCAGGTTCGATTCCGACCAGGGAAAAACTCCCCCGGGCAGATGGAGCTCGTCAGCCCTGTAAGGCCATCCATCTAAGAGAAGGTCACTCTAAACAAACCTACGTCCTGAGGACCTCACTGCCACTGTCCAAGCTTGCTCGACCCCAGCAGATGAACCTCAGGATTAAAGGGTGGGCTCAGTTCAGCGCACACTGTGTCTCACCTAAAAAATCCACTGCGCAGGCTCGAAGGGTAATGACCTTTCCCAAATCAGGTCCTGAGGACCTCACTGCCACTGTCCAAGCTTGCTTGGCCCCAGCAGATGAACCTCAGGATTAAAGGGTGGGCTCAGTTCAGCACACACTGTGTCTCACCTAAAAAATCCACTGCGCAGGCTCGAAGGGTTAATGACCTTTCCCAAATCTTCGCTCGCGAAGACTGGCCATACATACCTGGACCAGAAAGCCAAGAAAGTTTGAACAGGAAAAAAATGTAGATCTTATTTTTTTAAAGTTGTTCTTCCACCTCTCTGTACTTAAATACACTTACTGTTTCAAAGCATAGAAACAACACATAATGTATAAATGTCATTGATTCTGTGTTCCTCAGCTATTCACATGTGGCCTTTCACACATCTTTCAAATGCCAGAACTGCTTACACCCTTGTAATCGAACAATTAGCCACAAGGCATGGAAAAACAGCCATTTATTTTTAAAGTTGGGTATTACTGTGAGGATAAATGATAGAAACAGCTAAATTTCTCCAAATTGAGGTAACCAGGCAATTTAACTGAGCAATTAAACTTGATTGGTGTGGGCAAATGAGGATAATGAACATTTTTATGAAGCTTTTTTTTTCAGAGGACTAAATGTTAACCTTAAATATGGACTTAAAAATAGTAGGAATGTAAAGAAGAAATGTGAACATCAAAATCTCTTAAAACAACAACAATATATATATGTAAAGGGGACTTGTGCTTATGTCTTACTATGTAAGCAGTCAGACCTGGATCCTCTGGGCTATTTTGTGTTTAGTGGTTAAAGCTGGTGGGCATTAACATCATTAAAAAAAAAAAGATTCCAAAACAAAAACCATCTTTTTCTTGAGCTGGTTTTACTTTTGCCTTTTCATTTTTTTTAACATCTGTTTAATCCAAACATCCACGTAAACATTTGAAATATAAGAAGTCTGTCGTGAAAGATTTTAACAAATGGCATTAATTCTATGAACTACCCAAATTACAGTTGTAAAATCCTGTAACTGGTTATGCTACTATTTTCATCATAGTAGTTTAAGAGAGAGGGGAAAGAACAGTGAGAGGGAATGCGTTCAGGTTTGAGATAATAAAAAAGGTAATCGCTCTGAAGACAGAGCTCAAGGCAGTACTGAAGACAATGCTGAATCCAAGTCACAGACCAGGGCACTATTGTGCTCCGTACCCTGTATACTCTTTATCCACTGAACCCAAAGCTTTACATCTTTTAGGAGTTAATTACCCAAGCACATATGAAACAAACTAGCCCTTTTTTTGGTACCCATGGGTACTGTCAGCTGTTAAAAAGTGCTCCCCAGTTTTTTATGCTAGAGACTTTATTGTCAGCCCAAATACGCAGCTGTATCACACTGGACAAGGATACCTGGCTGCCAAAAAGAAGCTCACAGTGTTATAAATACAAGTTGATTGTATGCTGTAGCTCTGACACCAGATCCATTGTTTTAGTACCCATTCTTGTATTCCTGAATGTCATTCCTGTATTTTTGTGAAATAAACTCTTTTTAAAAGAATCGAAATTCATGCCTACAGTCACTATAGCTTCAGACTTAATAATGAGGAACTTGAAGAAAAGTTCTAGACTGGAATTATTCATTGCACTGCTGAATAACTTGTGAACTACAGCTATGCATTGAAGTGTGACTGATGGGCACAGTGACATTTTAACCCGAAGATATCTTTTCTTCCGGTTCAGAAATTATGGCACTTGGCAGGGACTCAATCCTAAAATAAAATAAAAGAATTACATGAACATCAAAGTAGAGAAGTGTCTAGCTCTACTGCCTTGCCAAAATTTGCAGCATTTGAGTTGGGTTTTAAAAGTGATCTAGTTGTACCACTGGCTGCTTAGTGCAATTTTATAGAGGTGGGGTGAATGCATCTTTAAATCACAGGTAAACAATGAAGTGGTAGTGCAGCTGTACATAGAAATATATGCTACATTCCCTAGAGATCTACAGATATTCCAGGGGAAGAAAGTGAAAAAATATGCCCTATTCCAAGATTATACTCAAAGGTATAGTTACTATTTGTACGCACTTGACAACTTTTCATGGCTACATAAAATCCATGAACTGGCATCCACCATTGAGGTTAGAGCACAAATCTAGAAATCATTGTTATATAAAGGGACAGGATGCCACTTTCTTTAGGACTGAGGAAAGATCTGAACAAGTCTTAAATCTTATTAATCCAGAAACAGCTTCTGGCATCCTGCAATGGAAAGGACCAGCTTGCTTTCCTGGTAACAACAGGCACAACTGTGGAACAGTTTTGTAACACTCTGTCTGGCACTAAGAGGAAACTTTCAGACATACTTTTCATTTTTGCTGTGTCTTATTGATGTTCATATAGTTCAAGCATAATGCTCGCCTGGAAGCTATCTGATGTTACTACCTGTACAACCCATCATAAACAGTGAACCTCTGCTGACAACTCCATTTTTCAAGGAAGATAAAGTCAAAGTCCTGCTGGTATGTGGCTTGGCAAAGCAAAAAGGATACTGTGTTACTGTAGGCAAACCCAGAATCCTTTTGTTTTGTGTTGAAAGAGCTACTGTTAAAGATAAATTCCCCTCCATCAAGAATGGTTTAAGGTACTGTTGATCCTGCTTTGGAGGAGAAGGATCAACTAAATGTTATCACAGTATAGTTTCAGTACTGTTTCTCTGTCTTTTGTCTGATTTTACTTCTGGATACAATTATTCTGAAGGCAAGCAGAGCAGCGTATGTCACCAGAAGCAAATCAAACAAAAGACAGAATCTCTCCAAGCCATTGCAAGTAAAGGGAGTAAGCAACGTATTTAGTTAAAAATATCTGGCTGTGAGCACACACAATGGGCTATTTAAACAAAGAAATTAATTGTCATGTAATACACTCCATGTAATACAGTCTATGCCTTTTCAGCATGTGAGGTAGTAATGGGTCACATTACTCCAGCGGTTAAAAGGTATCATATCTTAATTGGA